TAGGGGCATAAATGTAAATGTCCATTTTTCTTACAAGGTAATGGCCCTCGTACTATTAATAAAAGCACACCGAAATTTACCGAAAAAGGCTTTCGCCCCGCTTTATATTATAAAGCAACTGCCCAAGCCAAACATCCAACAAGGTTCACACACACACACACAAAGGTCTACTACAGACAAGTAGTCAAAGGGTTAATGCTGAGGGCACAGCTCAACAAGCCCTGAAGAAACAGAAAAGCACGGACACGCGGGGTGCGGCAGAGCATCTAGTCGGGCTGGGGGGGGGGGCGGAGGGAGCGGAGGCGCCAAGAGGAAGGCCATCGATCGAAGGTCGGCGAGGAGGTTGTTGATGACGTCCCGATCCTGGGGGCGGCTAAGCGGCCGCCAGAGCTGCAAGTATCCACACATTTTAAAGATGGCGTTAGTAGCACGTCGAAGAGCCACCTTCTGTATGACAAGCTTATTGCGAACGGTCCAAAGCGTTCAGGCAAGGACCCCAACACAAAGCCATCTAATATGGCGGTAGCGAGGGGGGAGGCGTGAATTTCCGCAAGCAGGTCAGGGAAGTTGGTGTTGCACCACTGGCCCCCAACCGTCTCGCGGAATCAGGACCAAAGGAACTGAGCCATGGAGCACGAGAAGATGTGGTTAGCATCCTCCACCGTGCCGCACATGGGGCACATCCCATCCCCAGGTCCATTACGCTTAAGGACCTCCACGCCGGACGGGAGGCGGCCTCAGATCCATTGCCATAAGAAGATCCTGATCTTCAGGGGCAGGTGGATGTCCCAAATCAAACTAAAGGGCTCGGGGGCCGTCGAGGGGGCGATGGCCGCGTAGAGGGATTTGGTGGAGAAGCAGCCGGAAGTTCCAGACGCCAAGAGATGGCGTTCGGGGTGACGGCGCCGTCCATAGGGAGGAGGGCGATGTCCTGAAGGAGGGCATCCCAAGCGGCAACTTCAGGTGGGCCAAAGGGGCGGCGGAAAGCGAGGCGCCCTAAGTCAATAAGGGCCGTCTCGACAGAGACACGAGGGTCAACTGCAATGGCGAAGAGCTCCGGAAATCGGGCGGCCAGGGGGTGTCGCCAATCCACCGATCAAACCAGAACAGGGTCGAGGACCCAGTACCAACCGAGATGGATGTGCCAATGCGAAGCACAGGTAGCAGCTGGACGACAACAACAACAACAACAACAAAGCCTTTAGTCCCAAACAAGTTGGGGTAGGCTAGAGGTGAAACCCATAAGATCTCGCAACCAACTCATGGCTCTGGCACATGGATAGCAAGCTTCCACGCACCACTGTCCATAGACTGGGAGCCGCCCGAGCGCTGACAGAATGCAAGAGGCTGTCCTCGAAGGTACTTGTTTTGGATGATGGTGAGCCAAAGACCTCCATCGCCATTGGCAATGCGCCAGAGCCAACGGGTCAGGAGGGCAATGTTCATGCGTCGGGAGGACAAGATCCCAAGACCACCCTGGTCCTTGGGTTTGCAGATATGGGGCCAGCTTACCATATGGTACTTCTGCTTATCCCCCTCCCCAGCCCAGAAGAATCTAGATTGATATTTGGCGATCTCCTGATGAAGGGTCTCATGGAGGCTATAGAAGCTCATGAGGAACCAAAGAAGGCTGGCAAGCGAAGAGTTGATAAGGATCACACGAGCAGTCTTCGACAACCAGCGCCCTTTTCAGGGCTCAACGCGGTGTTGCATACGGGTCACCGTGAGGCGAAAATCCGCCACAGTGAGGCGCGAATCACTAACGGGGATCCCCAGGTAGGTCGTGGGGAAAGAACCCAACCAGCAATTTAGCCTGTCCACAATAGCCTGTGCTTCCTCCGGGGGAACCCGAGAACCATCACTTCGCTTTTATCGAAGTTGATGGTTAGGCCCGACATCTGTTGGAAGCACAGGAGGAGGAACTTCAGGTTAGCAATGTCTTGGACGGAGCCCTCCACCATTATTATGGTATCATCCGCATATTGAAGGAGGGAGACCCCTCCCCCTCCGACTAGGTGGGGGACGATGCCGCGAATATGGCTAGCATCCTTGGCCTTATCAAGGATGGATGCCAGGCATCAACCACCATGTTGAACAGAAACGGCGATAACGGGTCACCCTAACGGACCCCACAGAGGGTGGGGAAGTAGGGCCCAATGTCACCGTTGATGTTCACAGCGGTCCGGCCACAGGAGACAAGCTGCATGACGCGAGTCACCCAACGGTCGTCAAAGCCTTTGCGAAGCAACACTTCCCGCAAGAAGGGCCAGTGGACCGTGTCGTACGCTTTGTGGAAGTCTAGCTTCAGAAAGACCGCCCGATGGCGTTTCATCCGAACCTCGTGGAGGACTTCGTGGAATACCAGCACCCCATCCAGAATAAATCGGCCTTGTATGAAGGCGGATTGGTTGGGATGGGTAATCGCGTCAGCGAGCAGGGTCACCCTATTGGCGTACCCTTTGGCCAGGATCCGGAATATGACATTAATCACTGTGATTGGATGAAATTGGCAGATGTTGGAGGCGCCCGGGACCTTGAGGATGAGGGTCACGATACCATAGTTGAGGCGCCCGAGTAGAATTCCTCAAACAGGGCCATGACCTCCGGCTTGATGGTCGGCCAGAACATTTTGAAGAACGTTACGGGCAGGCCATCCGGTCCCAGGGCCGAGGAGGGGTTCATCCCTTTAATAGCCGCGAGGACCTCGTCCTCGGTGAAGGGGGCCACTAATGCCGCATTGGTCTCAACAGAGACCAATTGATCACCCGACCAAATGTCGGAGGCGAGACTAGCCCCACCTCGAGGGGTGGGGGTAAATAGGGCTTTATAGAAGTCATCTACATGGGCACGGATGGCCGAGGGGCGAACGAGAGGCGTGTCTCCATCCCACAGGCAGTGGATGGAGTTTCGACGCCGCCGGCCGTTCGCCACCGCCTGGAAATAGGCGGTGTTGGCATCACCCCCGAAGCACCCACCGTTGGGTACCATGCAGTCGCCAGTAGGCCTCTTCATCCGTGTAAATGGTTGAGAGCTGGTCTTCAAGGTCATATTGCAGCATCCACTCATCCGGGAAGATCCCAGACATGTCGGCACGGGCATCCAGGGCTTGGATAAGCACACCGAAATTTACGAGATCACGTCGTGAATCTAGGAGATTAAAGGTGAGTATCTTGATGCAAAACATCAGCAAGTTAAATCACCCTTTAGAACTTCAAAGACTACCTTCAGTCTCCACGGCGGATCTACAGACGACTTTTCTAAAGGGGGTGTACTAAAATACGTCGTGGCTCACGCGTTGCCCTTCCCGGACGACATAGGAGTGACCCAAACCCTAGCATCCACCACCTCTCCTTCTTTCTCCCCCCTCCTCGCCGCCACCCAAGGAGTCTGCCGGCTACTGCGCGTCTTCCGGTGCGGCAAGGATCTGCTGCCTCGCGCCAGTGTGAGTGGCTCTGGAAGCCAGGGTGACGGCCTTGGGTGGAGATGGCCTTCCCTTCCGCTCGCTTGGGCGGTGTGAGGGCGGCGAGGTCTCGTTGCAGCGGCAGGTGGCTTCTTCTTCCTCCCGGCCCCTTCCCCTTGTGACGGTCTGTCAGATCGGGCTGTCGAGGATGGGGTCGTGGAAGTCTTGGAATGGGGGAAACACTTGGTCGATTTCACGTCGACCTCGATGCCGCCGGCGCTCCGGTGCCGTTCTCCCTCTTGAGAGTGGGTCAAACTACCAGGTCCCCCCCCCCCTCCCTCCCTTCTTTGGGACGAAAGTCTTGGCCTTTGGCCGGATGGCGGAGGCGTCCTGGTGTCTTGGTCCTCCCTGGAGGCGCCGTTCAAGGGGTGGTCGGGGGATGTGATCCTCGTGCGTGGTGATTGGTGGTGGTGGCGGTGCTCGGCTCTCCTGGTTACCGGCGTTGGTGGTGGCGAGTTTGTCCTTCCGCATCTTTCAGCGGCTCCTTGCCTTGTTTGCTTGTGGGTTGCCGGCCTGTGGTTGGCGCCCACGTGTGTGGCACGGTCTGGATGAAGGGGAGATACGGCAGTTGCCCGGCGGAGTCGATGTTCTTCAAGCAGTCTGGTTTTTCATGTCCACGGCAATTGCTGTTGTCTGGATACTATGGTTCTGCTGTTCTGGCTGCATGAGATCTTCGGCGGCTTGATGGTAGTTTCCCATGGTGCTCTACTCGCTGCTGCTTCTGGTAGTATTGAGATATGCATGTAATCTTTGAGATTTTGTAAGTCTTTGCCTTTGTAATTCAACACTATTGTATCCTAGCCGGTTGTTGGCTTCATTAATTTGAAGTCGGGCTTTCGTGCATTTTCTCTAAAAAACACACCCAAGAAATTGACAAAAATCTTACATCAGATTTTTTAGCAATTCTAATTGTTGAGATGATGCCAATTTCCTTTAGCAAACATGACAAATCATGGCAAAAACTGATGCCATCCTCACCACAACTATAATTGCCATGAAAAACATTCTAAGTTGTTGCCATGGTAAAAAATCTGACGGTTCGTTTTGTAGTTGCGTCCAAAATTAAATTAGTAACCGTGTATACGTGCATGCACATACAGCTTGACAGTAATATTATTTTCAAGATTGATCACAATTAATATTAATTCCAAGATTTATTGTGTTTAATGCAACTAATTTTGTTTCAAATTATGATCAATGCAATTATCATGTTTTCAAAATATTGATGATGTGATGTATACATCATTGAAGCAACGTGATACAGTGGACATAGGTGGTTGGATGGCACATATCATTTGGATTCACTCGTGCTTTTATAAGTAGTAGTAGTATATATGCAGATACTCCCTCCGTTCCTAAATATAAGTCTTTTTAGATATTTCAAATGGACTACAACATATGGATGTATGTAGACATATTCTAGAGTGTAGATTCACTTATTTTGCTCCATATGTAGTCACTTGTTGGAATCTCTAAAAAGACATTTGGGAACGGAGGGAGTATATGAGTACTGAGCCTTGCAAACTTTTTTCTTACGCAGGCAAAATTCACCTCCTTTTTCGGTCCTGGAATTAAGGCTGAAATTGGTGAGTTGTGCTCGTTATTGTCTAATACCCTGTATCAATCACTATCTTACCATTGTTCCGATGACCCAGGAAAAGGTGGTGACGACCTATATGAAGTGCGTCTTATCTCGGAGACCACAGAGGAAGAGTGACAGCGTTTGCAATCCTATTATCTGCTAATATACAACAAAATGATATTTATTTCTTTTCCCCACTAATTTGCATATATAACGTTATTATTGTAATATACTCAGTATATAATTTTGCTTTTGAGCTTTGTATGTAGTTCCAAATCTAGCATCGTATGTTCCATGCAAAGCATACAAAAAAGGCTATTGTAATAAAGATGTAAATTGACTTGATTGGCCAGCATTGGGCATAGTAGTAGTTGCAATATTTTCTTTTGGGAACTTTTGAAGAAGTTGAAAAATCTGTGGACGTTTAGTCATTTAATTTGGATTTTAGCCTTATCAGCCCAGTAATTCGACATTAGTTGGGAGAGCTACTCATGTACCCTGCTCTAGCCTCCACCTCTGGCAACCCTTTGGCCCCCACTCCCCTGTTCTGACATCCCACGCTCGCCACCGAGAGGCCAAAATCACTGTTCTGACATTTCTTCTGGATTTGACCTTTTTTCTACCCCTGTTGTCTGTGGCGGTAGGGTAACACTACTTATGGCCATGGTCAATGGCAGTAGGTACCTGCCCAATGTGTCTGCGCCGTCATGGTGCTTGTTGATGTGGATAAGCGACCACCGCCAGGGATTGCGGCGGTAGCCTGTTATACCTTACTGCTAGGCTCGATGGCAGTAGGCTGGAAGTAGGCCCCCGAGAGGTAAGTGGTCGACGGGGTGGTGTGGGGTCTACCCAGCCACCCACCCATTCTCTCGAGCAGGCTCTCCCCTGTTTCTCCCGAACAGAGAGGAGGTGACTCTCTCCTCTGCAATCCCCCCTTCGATCTCCCTCGTTTAGGCATCATTTTGGTCGATTTGTCCTCCCCAACGTAGAGCAAGGTATTCTTCATCCTTTACTCCAATTATTTTGTATCAAATCTTTGTATTTCGGATGCATTTTATACCACTAGGTGCACCCTAGTTTCTCTTGTTTGGAAGTTTGTCATGTTAAAGTTGTTTAGTATGGATATTAGGTATATAATGTGTGGATGAATGAATGGATAGATTGTATGGGATATGTTGGAGTAGTTTTTTTTTTAATGTGTATGGACGCATGGATGGATAAGTTGCATGGATATATTGGAGTTGGTTTAATTTCAATGTGTATGGATAGATTGTTAGTGGACGAACGCATATGTATGGATATATATACATTGGAATGTGTATGCAATGCGTATGGATGAACATGATTGTTTGTATATGTATGAATATACAGATATGTGATGAATGGATATTTATGCATATGTTGTGAATTGACATATAGGTTGTAAACATTTTTCCCTATGTTTTCAATGTGTATGGATATAAAGATTGCAATTCATATGTACGGATTATGTTGTCAAGTATGGATGTTGTCAAATCTCTACTACCTAAAAGGCTTACGTTCCCCTCCCTTCGTCCAACCTCTCCTACGACCCCCTTTCACCTCAATCGATTTTCTTTTCTCCCCACCGGTTTTCCCCTGCTGGTTTTCTCCTTGGTTTTCTATTCCTTTCTTAACAGGTAATCAATTTATGTATGGTAACTAGTCGCAATTAATTCGTGCATGGTATGGTAGTACTCCCTCTATTTCCTCCCCCGCCCGATTTTCTATTTAATCAGTTTTTATTTTTCTAGATAAAACAGGATCAATCTTTGGCAACTCATTCAATTATTATATGGTATAATTGATCTCTTCTTTGGCAATGTATAACGCAATCAATTCACATCAATCACGGGCATATTCTTTTATTCCGTATCTTGGTTTATTTCCTGCCTTTTCTGCTATTGATTTTTTTCTCTCCATAAATATCTCTTCCTTCCTTTCCAGATTTCATCTCATTCATCTGATGATCGTGTGCCCGCCGCGCTAGGGTACGCAAGACACTACCTGCACCGTTGCTACGATCATGCTCGCACCGCGCCGGGAGGCCACCATCCTCCTCGAGGAGAATAGGCCGGAGCACCATGACCAGGGAAGATCGTGGTGTTGTTGAGTACTCGCCTCGAATCTACGCCAGCAGTGCGGGACAGCCAAGGCCCACCAAACCCGCATCGCCTCTGCGCACCTACGTTGATTGCCGCCGCCGAGCGTCATCGCCCTGAGGATCACTGCCGAACCAGGCCTCCCACCAGCGTCTTCCACCTGTTCATGATTGGACGGCGGACTCAGCCTTCTGCCCTACCCCATCGCGGCGTAAAACCGTCACCAAACGTTTTTCAGCACCGAGCCACCGAGAGACGGGAAGCAAGAAGATGTCCTTGGAGGTCGTGCAGCTTTTCGGAAGGACGGAGTTGGCCAGACCCCATCCTCCCGGGCAAAACGACTAGCCGAGCCTCAACTCCTGGAGACGGCGGCGAGCGGTGTGACAGAGGTCCTCAATGTTTTATAAACTGCTTTCCTGTTTACAACTTTCTGCTAAGTTTCGTGCCTGCTTGATTGACATATGTAATGTGCCTTTTCCTTGGTATAGTTACGAGGATCTGCATGATGGCGAGCTAGCCTGCATGATGCAGTCATGTACGTTACGGGCAATGGCCTGATGGCGAGCTAGCTTTTTCCTTAATTGCTTCAATGTTCCTCTTCCTCTTTGTCAGGGTCATCCCATGAATATATTTACTCCTGAAAATCAGGCGCTCAATACACACTGACTATTATTTGTACTGCAGAAAACGTAAATCATTTATGAGCTAGAAGGAACTCATCAATCTAATAATCCGGTTGTACTCTTAGTTAGAGGTTGGATTTTTTTTCTTGTAAATATCCTTGTAAGACTAGCAATATTTATATTCCCATGCTTTTTCCAGTATATACTATCTAAGTTGGTTAATTCTTTTCACAACATTCTTATGTCTATTGTTTTCGTCACAAGAATTTATTATTTAGTCTAGCAGGGTGTTATGTATTTGCATGATTGTGCCCAGCATTAGGGTTAGTTTGTTGATAAATGAAAAAAAGAACTTGTATGGCTACTAAGATACAGAAGAACAAGATGAGGCCTTGCTTTTGCATCATCACCAATAATCTCTACTCCTAATGAAGAACTTCGTACGTCGTTCGTTTGTTACCTTCCTCCCACACCGATCGAAGGATTTGCCTAAACATCGATTGTCTCCCTCCCACAGATTTTCTTTCAAAAACCGCACGCAACTTGGCATCCACCCGGTTTATTGCGTCAAAAAATTGCCCGTAGCGCTCCTTCATTATCAATGGATCCCACCAATTACGCTCCTTCCAATTACGTCTCCTGTCCCCCGTTTCTGGGAGGATGGGGTTTTAACCAAGTATATCCCAAAGTATATCCTGATGGGATAATCAGAACGCTATACCCCTTTCCCTGATAACAACATATATATCCCAAGAAAATTTGAACACAATCCTAATTGACTCGATGGATTG